TATATAACATATATAGTTATTATAATTATAATTATTATTATATTATTATTATTAGACCTATTATCAGGCCTATTATTACTACTATTACTACTACTAGGCCTACTACTACCATACTAATTTATTGACTCCAATACATTTAATTTTGAAGTATTATTATTATTATTATTATTATTATTGTATACTTATATAGCGCATATCAAACTTAAAATTTTAGAACTTTCATAAAGCAATGTATTATAATAATTGTATACCGTACTGTGAATTTCATGTTTTATATGAATGTAAGCAACAAGCAATACAATTTCCAGAAATGGATGAGAATAAAGTTTGAATCTTGAATCTTTAGGTATTAGGTTGGGGCACAATAATGGCGCATTCACTGTTTGATGGAAGCAAACATGAAGACTCGGATAGTAATTCAGAGCGTTATCGGTATGTTTACTCTGGTCTTGGACTTCGTTCAACCGAAAGTTTATATAGGTCTGACGACGGTAAGTACAAACTCTTACTTTCTACGGTTCGGTGTGGTAAATAAAGAAAGGACATGGACTGTCAGCCTTGACTACTAGACACTCTTGAACCCCTCTGTAACTGGTAAAGATACTTTCTTTCCAGTCCCAGTGTCCTCTGGGTTTATTCCCTGTGCAGCACTAAATCTACTCCACTCCCTAAGCCTCATTAAGATACTTAGTTTACAGCATAACTGGGACCTGTAAGTAAAGAGTAGATTCCACTGAGCAGGTACCCAGAATAAAGAAGAACCCGGATCTACAATATCCTCTATGCTACTAACTTCTTCGCCGTTTAGACATCTGGAGGAATGTGTGTGCTTTAATAATAATAATAATAATAATAATAATAATAATAATAATAATAATAATAATAATGATAATGATAATAATGATAATGATAATAATAATAATAATAATAATAATAATAATAATAATAATAATAATAATAATAATAATAATAATAATAATAATAATAATAATAATAAAAATAAATAGTTTATTTACTAAGAGATATCTGTCTTCCTAACGTGTTATTGTACCGAACACTCAGTACGTTCCCAAATACTTGCGAAAAAATATCGCAAGTGATTCAGTTGGGAATTAGACGCACACTCCAGATACCCAGCCTAGCGCCATAACCTCTAGATTACTGTGCTTGCGCGCGCTTGGTGTGAGAGTGTTGAATCCGATCCCCAAGTTGCAGTGGGTACTGCAAATGTTATTTTGCGATGTGAACAAGCGTGTAACACCAAGTGTTCAGTTATATATGTGATTTAACTTATAAATAATTGTTATTAATTATAGGCCTATACTAGCTACCAATATTTTATATTGTCTAGGTCTATCCAGAATTCCAGTTGAAGCATCAGATATCGATTCCAATCCAAGAGGCATGCCGCAACTATTTCATCGGGAAACCTCTGCTGTGGATATGCCAGTGTTGCCAGTAGGCTTTTCCGAAAATGGAGGTCTCATATATTTTAGGCCTCCATCTTCATTTGCGCAAAGGTCTACTTCAAATCGAGAATACGTTGAACAATTGTTTGAACAGAACCACTGGTTTTCCTGCAGAGAGATGTTTCATGCTGATTCTTTAGCGCCTTCGCGGCCAGTGACTAGCCAACGTAGAATCCGCTGTCCATATACAAATACAACATCATACACTTCTACATTATCGATAGTAAGTGGTAGCGATACTGAGGAGAGTGATTTCGAAGAAAACACAGAGACTGTATCAGGTTCCTCAAGTCACTTAATTACTTCAGAGTACAAAAGTGCCACTGGGTCTGATGCAGATGATACTCAGTACTTATTGCAAAGTGGATGTAGTACCAATAAACTATGTAGATCAGCGAATGGTCCTGCTTCGTATTCACGCGGTCCCCGTAAAAGCAGCATGACGTCAGCGAGGAAACAGATTCACAAGAAGGTGTCACACGTTGCTTCTCACTGTTCACAGGGCCATTCAAAGAACAGCCACGTTGCTCGTAAAACACAACATAAGCAAGGAAGGTCCGATATTTTCCATCCAACTGTAGATCGAAGTTTGAAAACCTCAAGAAGAAAATGTGAGTTCATTTTGATTATTCGTTATAGTTGTTGTTGTTGTTATTATTATTATTATTATTATTATTATTATTATTATTATTATTATTATTATTATTATTATTATTATTATTATTATTATTATTATTATTATTTCAGATGATTGTCTGATAACATATGCATCCGATGCTACGACCAAGCGTCAACTTGCCGCAAAATATTTGATCGCACGTGGTTATAATGTGATGACTGATGTATCTTCAAGCGCAATCGCAAGCTACTCCACTCTCAAAGAAAAGGATGTTCTGAAAAAACTAGAAAAAATATTTCACAAGGTATGGGTTCACCTTTTATCGTCACCTGAGTGTTGTTATAGGCCTTCTTAATTTGGAACAACTTAATATCTGTCTCTTATACACATCTAGATGTGTATAAGAGACAGGTAATTCAGAGCGTTATCCTTTTGATTGTGATTTTTACAATTTATTCTCAACGAATATTTCTACTTCTGCCGACACATTAAATAATATTGAGGTAATAGAGAGGTATTATAAATCGATTTATAACATCATGTTCCTTTATATTTTAGCACTATAACAGCTGTATATATATAATATATAAATCAATATATATATATATATATACATCAAGTTATGCTCAAATGTAAAGGAACATGATGTTAAAAGCGATTTATAATATCATGTTGCGTGTGTGTGTGTGTGTATGTATGTGTGAAGTTCAGAAATATCTGCACAAAATGAATAATGTTTGTCCTTATTTTGTAGTGCGATTTTGTCTTATGCTTCTTGTCTGAAGAATATATTTTACGAATTATCGGTAAAAAAACAAAACACGACCAGGTGCACATTCGGTAGGTGTTTATTCTCATATTGTTAATAGATAAATTTATTTTCATTTTTTTGTTTTAGCGGCCCTGCTTCCATTGTACATCCTTGTATTATTAAAATTTCGACAATTAGTAATTATGAATCTATATCCGAAGGGCCAAATGACGTCCACAACTAATTATTCAACAACCAGGAGTACGAAATTTATACCCATTTTCTTTTAATTACTATTTCCAGGTTTTTCGCCAATCTTATGGAAGAGGAATATAAACAAAATGGGAAAACAAACATGAGATTCCTTCCGATTCATATGGGAAGCAAGTATTCAAAAATGAATAACATACCAAAGTATTTAACATCTTATCCCGAGAACAAGTGCCGGCAGTTCCAGGAATTGGTTCGGGAAGCTTTCATTTGCCAAGAACAGTTGACATTAGAGTATTGTCAGGAACAATTGACGGAATTGGGAGAGTGATATTTAATACACCGATAAAATGAAATGACAATTCGGCTGCACGTGATGCGTACATGCGTCCTACGTTTAGGTTGACTAGTTTGCTAAATCACCATAAACCAAAGTAGGCCGATTTATGTTTCATAGACCTAATGGTATGATGCCATATCAATATTACAATAACGTGTCATGTTTGGTGCTGAATAGTATTTTGTAGAACCTTAAATACTTATTTGTACAATGCAATTGTTGCGCACTGCGTATCTGTCCCAGTGATGCTACCAGGAAGAGGGTCTCGATTTGAATGACCAATCAGCATCGCCGAAAGCTGTCGGTGATACTTAACGCGTTGCGATTTTTTAAGCCGGGTGCGTTACATCAGATATTGAACTTTACCTCAGGTAGGCCTACTTGAGTATTACGTCAAATAAAAGTTCTACATTCCATTCGTCAAGGGAAGTTTTCACTCTTCATTTTATTTTCACGTATTGTTTATATATTTTTTTTGAATTAATTTGGATTTATGATGTCAACTATACGTTACACAATAAACAATTATTTTGAAAGTTCAGGGACTGTATGTAAAGAAATCTGCTATGGCTCATAAAGAGACAGTTGATCCATAGAATATTATATAAGCCTGTTTGTTCACTCTGTGAATAGATTTGTTCAAAGATCATAGCAGATAATGTGCACTGGTATTGATTTTATGTAAAGTCGGGCATATTTGAGTATGCTCGCGTCAAATAAAAAGTGCAAAATTGTATTCCTCTTGAGAAGTTTTCTTTTTTCATTTTATGTTCATGCACAGTGGTGGCTCCAGAAATTTTCCAATGAGGGGTCCGACATGTCTGACAGCGGAGAGGTCCAAACCAAGAAACTGTCTAGAGCGTCGATCAGGGTCCAGCAATAAAAATTCCTGTGCATTTTTTCCTTGTGTTTCTAGACCGCAATATTGGGAATTGGAAAATAACGTTTGGATATGAAAATTAATATTTTTCATCGGACGGAGATTCAGGCCTGCCGCGCCGCCCCCACCTGCTGGCGCCACCACTGTTCTTGCATGAATACGCATATGATGTAAATAATAGGGTACAAGCATTTTATATATAAAATTTGTGAATAGATGCTTAAAGATCAACAACGTGGCTTCCATTCTTGTAAGTCACGTGAAATATAACTTAGTTAATATAAGTTATAGGCTTGCAGACAGTAGGATGGTTAAATAATGTTCTTTCACTCATTGTTGATTACATTCATTTCTATTTCCAAAGTTAGCTAGATAATTTGATTGATCTTAAATCTTCATGCTAAAAAATTCAGAACCGTATCTTTTTGGGGGAAGGAGGGTGCGGGGTGTGCAAAAATGGACCAATTGGCCGCGTATGACAACGTACGATAACGCCCAAAAACGTATTGAACCCAAAACCCTCAAGGTTCCCATTCGGTTTGAGAAACCTAATTAAAATCCCACTGGCCCAATTTCATTAGGGATTTCGAACTGGACAGGGGGTAAATTCCGCCCATAGGGAGGCCGAATTCACTAACTACAGTATTTCCGACAGGAATGGGAATGTGTACACTGGGTATTATAAAAAATAATATTTATGATTGAAAAATAACACTGAATCCCAATTCCGACTTTGGTTTCCCTCTACAATTTTAACATCGGACATTAAGGGGATTTAGCTAAAAAATAAGATCTAATCTTGTATACTTAATTACTTGTTTGACGAATCGTATGGGATTTACTCATTATCATTAACCTTGTTACTAAGTAATTAGGAGACGCATTAATTACCGAAATAGTCACCTTACTGGTAATTTTCTCTATTGTGATGTCTTCCCGTTAGGAAAGTGCAAATCTTTAGGACGTGTAAACTAATGAACTTCTGACATTTATTAGGCTTTATTGTTGCCAGGTTCAAGCAGGGATTTGTTACAAACTGTTTTTTCTGTAAATTGTCGATGTGTAATTTAAATTCAATTACGATGTACAGTGCTTCAGTGGCATACTGGGCACAATGAATACTTCGCTTTAACGAAATGATGAAAAAATAATGTTTAATAAGGTTAAAGAATGTTACTCAATTAAATCTTGAAAATCTTTTCTACTGAAATAAATTGTTGCTTTTTTGTTGAATATCTTGATGACTATTGCAAATTATTTTTTTAAAAGCTATTCACAAATTCAATTAAAATAGTTAAACAATTCCAATAAAGCCATAAATGATTTAGTTTCCACTGATTTACTAAAACATTGGACGGACACTGTATTGAGAGCACCGGGCGCTTGCTCTCTGCACCGTTTTGCTATCATCTGCACAGGTTTAAATCCCACTCCCTGCTTAGGCTAGTTGCAGGACCAAAGTTCTTTCAAATAAGGATTTTAAACTGCAAGTATATTTTAGGATCCAGGGACCCCAACGTACTGGTCTATATCCACCCAAGTCAATAGTAGTTTTTGCCGCACGACGTTAACCTTAACTTAAACGTTAGTACCCAACTTGCAACGCGATAACTCTGCCCCTTTTGTAAACAAATCGAAATATGCATGCGCAAACCCGTAACTAACGTCCGTCGAGCACGTAAAATCCTGAAATTACCGTACTCCGGAATGCAAGATGAATAAATTATGACGTTAAAGTTAACGTCGTGCAGCGAAAACTCCATATTGTCACAAGAATTACCTAAAACAAAGTCTTAAAATGTGTGAGTTATCCCTTGAAGTGTCAAATACCAAAGAAAACTAGCCCACCAAATACATAATATATATATTTCTTCATGATTTTAGCTCAACCACAAATGTCTTAGAAATAGAAATCCCTTAGATAAGATAGATTGGTCTACTTGAAAATACACCTATCCACACAAAGTAATAATGAACAACACAGGGTGTTTATAGAATATCATTACACATTTATTCTACTGTGATAAATATTTTTTGAAACAATTAATAAAACAGATATTTAGGCCTATATACATTTATATTTGTAGCAGAACTGTTAGTACTGGTTTTTTATTCAACCAGTAATACAATAATTTAAAATACTGTATAAATATTTTAATAGTATAACCATCATTTTAACACTAAAAATAAATGCCCATTTTATAATAAATAATAATAATAATTTTTTAATATCATTTACTAATTGTCATTATTACAAAACATTGTAAAAATAAGTTCATTTATAGTGTTGCTTAGGATGGATTTCTTGATTTCGCAGAATATGTTGAACTTTCCTCAGATAGAAATTTTATTTTTAAGATAGTATTTTAGTTCCCAGAACTAATTTCTTCAGAATTAAAAAAAAAAAGTTAAATGGCATTTTTAAGTTCAGTCATCAAGATATCTATCATTTCTCTTTATCACTGTAGTCAATAATACATTTAAACTTATTTTAACCAGTCAAAAATATAAAATAACTTTTTAAGATTATCAAAATTTGCTTTTAGATCCTTCTTTTCACTAAGTGCTTATACAAAGTTTTAGTATTGTGGGGGTGTTTAATTTAGATCTGTGACATTTATTTATATGGCTATCTATTTTATTCTTTTCAGCTTCTATTTAATGTCACATGCTAAGATATATTAATCATCGTTGACATAAAGACAACTCTAAACTTATACATTTCCAAATTTCTTTTATTATGAAGACTAAATTAAATAAATTCAACTCATCTCTTGTGGAATAGACCTATAGACTGGACACATGGGGTATATTTTATCAGGTTTTATTCATACCAATAAGATGAAATTAGTAAAAGTACAGTATACATTTATGACACTTACTTTAACTTGCAAATGTCAAATTTAATTCAAATGCTTCCAAGATACATTACTGAAATTACCAAAATGTTGCAACAAGAAAGTATTTATATTGCACAGGGGCTTATTTAATGCTGTTTAAATGCGCTGAATGTAAAAAAAAAAAAAAAATGGTACATTTGAATTTTATATCTACATTCTTAAAAAAACACATTGTGGTAAACTCTTGGAAAACCTTCAAAAAGCTTTCACAATTTATTTTCTTAATTTAAAATAAGTTATCAACTTCAAACAAGACAGAGAACGCATGCGGCCCGACAGCGTTTTTTTTTGCGTCCCACGAAAATGAATGAAAACCCTATGTGTGCGGCCCGCCAAGCCACATTGGCCAGAAAACACGGCCCGACACCAGTCACATGTAAAAAGTAACATTAAAACTGAGAATAACTGGTGTAAAAGAAGTGCTTGGAGGGTTTTGGAAGCTCACTGGATACATCAAAGTTTTGGTGCGCCCCTCAGTGTTAAATCAAAAATTAACTTTGTCCCTCGGACCGATTTTAATTACAAGTGTCCCTCCAAATAAATACCGCTTTTGAGCAGCTTTAATTTCTAGAAAAATAATTATGATTTTATAGATAAAAAATTACATTTATCTGGTGCTAAAGCAAAGTGGTGTTTAAATGGAGGTGTCTATTTTGGAGGTTCCACAATTAGAGGGAGACTTGTAACTATTAGTTTACATTTCCATGCAGAGGTGAAAGATTGAACTCTTACTTTAAGTGATCTTGGATTGGCATGCATGTTTTTGATATAAATTGTTAACAATTTAATTCTAGATAAATGTAAACACACAACTGTTGGTGTGCGGTTATGACGCACTACCACCTAGGCTACAAAGTACTGCCATCCATATGCACTCCCTCTCTTGGTTTAGGTTTGCTGGTCAACTACAGTTGTTCAGATTGTTTCACCAAGAACACTCCTCTCATCATGTAAGCAGCTTATTGCTTACCCTCTAACACAAAGATGCAGTACATTTAGGAACTCCAAGCAACACATTCAACTACACGGTGAGAGATAAACAAATACCTTACAGGAATTGTAACTGCTAACTTCACAGTGACCTTAAATACAGAAAGCAATGAGGGACACAACATCTCTGTATATAATTACAACCAACAATTGTAGAAGACCTCCATGACGTGCGATAATCACAGACACCCTTCAAGCTTTGACGGCAGGACTGACATCAGAAAAGTAACTATGTTGAAGTCCATCTTCTGCAGACATTCGTAAATTGGGGTTGCAGATCAGGAGATGCTATGAAAAAAATAAAAGAAAATCTTATGAGGATAATGAAGATCTAACTAAATTGAAAGAATTTATGGGTGTGTTGGATAAAATATGTTGTGTTCTTGTTGAAAAAATAATTTGAGAGAGTGTATTGGTGCAGTATTCAGATGTAATGGAAGAGAACTGAGTGGGACGTATACCACAAAATCAATGTTCAATTTTTTATTGAAGCATGTCAGTACTATTGGCTGTGGGCTTTCAATAAAAAAAAATAAGAGATTAGGCTGTTTATTCACTTGGGCAAGGTATTTTATTGATGTGGTTTCTATCTTCCTCTCTTTCTACCCAGGAGTATAAGTGGGTACCTGTCTTGAATATCAATGTTCTGATTAGTAGCAACTAGGAAAGTATTCTTTATAACTCAATCTTGCAACATTCTGGAATAGAGTACTTAGTATTTGCTTACCAAACTGAACTGGTGATCATAGTAATATAGAATGCATTATGCACTGTCTAAATCGTTATCATTACTAATTAGTGTTATGAAATATGAAATACGAAATACGAGGAACTTTACTGCAATCTCTCATTATAAAAACAATTTAAATCAAGATTGAAGTTTAAAAAAAGTATAGAAAAAACATTTTAAAACATCAGATACAATATACATCAATAAAAAAAAAGAGAGAATTATAATCATTTGTCTATTTAATTTAGTGTAATTTAGTTATTAATTCATGCTACTAAATATATATATATATTATTTGATAATTTATTTATATTAAAAATATAATATGTTTAAAAAATGCTAAACTTCTCAGAGGTCACATCAGTGGTGAAACCAGAGGGAGGGGATTAATCTCCCCATCAAACAGGCCAAGCCCCACCACTGAATGTGCCTCATCAGCATAAACAGTAGCACATCTAAGAGTTTTGAAATAGGGGGCTAATAGGGGAAAAAGTGAAGTGGTGGATGCTTGATGACTAAGTGAGGGGAACTTGCTCCCACAATAAGGTATAATAAGGTTTAACTACTTGAGCATAATATTTTGGCTAACAATATTTCCAGTGGAGGGACTACTGGAAGGGGGGGGGGGTGGATGGGGTTGTGTACTTAGTAAATAGAGTACTTAGTATTTGCTTACCAAACTGAACTGGTGATCATAGTAATATAGAATGCATTATGCACTGTCTAAATCGTTATCATTACTAATTAGTGTTATGAAATATGAAATACGAGGAACTTTACTGCAATCTCTCATTATAAAAACAATTTAAATCAAGATTGAAGTTTAAAAAAAGTATAGAAAAAACATTTTAAAACATCAGATACAATATACATCAATAAAAAAAAAGAGAGAATTATAATCATTTGTCTATTTAATTTAGTGTAATTTAGTTATTAATTCATGCTACTAAATATATATATATATTATTTGATAATTTATTTATATTAAAAATATAATATGTTTAAAAAATGCTAAACTTCTCAGAGGTCACATCAGTGGTGACATCCAGTACACTCAGGCTCACACATTCGTATTGACAGTTGTAGTATAACATTATTTCTAACGCGAGTCAATACACATTAAACGGCAGATGTCCTGAGGGCGCTATTCCTTTTTTATTAATAGTATTATCGCTAGAGCCTACTGAATTATTTATAGGTGTTAATTACAGAGGCTGTTTGTTGGGACTGCCTTGTGGGCGTCCTTCATGAATATAATACACTTATCAATTGTAGTCCCGGCCCACCCAGACCCGGGCCATGGTGGCACAGTGGCCGTGGCTGAGCCGGAGACGTACATATATTTGTGTCCCCATAGTGCCTGGACGTACCTGAAATTCACCCGTATATGTAACTGGCATCGAAAGGTCCGGGAATTTTACATGTTAGAGTAGGCCTAGTCATTCAGCAATTGCTGTGTTTTGGTATAAAAAAAATCACCTACCGGTGCTCTAGGCCTACCATCATGGTTTCATTTTTTATAGATCATGGTATAAATTACATAATAAAAGTCAAAACTACAATTGACAAGTGCATAACTTTTTTTAGAACATAATGTATGTTTAGTTTTAATGTTTAGTTGCTATTTACTAATTGTATGCTATATTTGTTTACAGTTTACCGCTTTAAATTTTGGCACCAGACGTCTATGAGGAAGGTGTACAATAAATGCAAAAACTGAGTTTGTGTTTGTGTCTTTTTTGAAGAGCATTTATCTACCTGAATAATGTGGTTAGAGAGAACTTTGTGAGCTCAGAACAGATTCAAGATTCCATTTACTGTCCAAAAATGGAAATACTAGGGGGCAAACATTTCATTGCAAGGTTACAAAAATATAACATACTGTATGATTAGAACCTGTAATTAGAAACAATATATGACAAGTAAATTAGAATTAATTAATACAGTACAGTGAGTTGTATTGCTGTACAAATATTGCTGAGATTAAAAGCAGTTCACATTAAGGGATCTTAACTTTATATGTCGTGATAAATATAATTAAACATACTTAATGAAAGTTACAAAAGTATACACTATGAATATTGTGCAGAAAACAATACATATTTAAAAGCTTACATATTATTATATTACACATATATTAAGTTGTTCATGTTTCTAATGGAATATAGTACAAATGTATTTAGTAATCTATTGGTTCTACATTTTAGGCATTTGAGTCTCTTCCCAGATGGCAACCATATGGGGTGAGTAACATGATGAGCGTTGCTTTTTCTTTAATCTTATTTTATTTTAAAATACAAAAGTCATTCATAATATATTTTCCTTAAGGATTTTACCGGCTTGGTTACCCACTCTCTGTAACTTTACGATATCCTTTTGTCTTATATTTCCGAACCATACAAACAACCACAAAATATTGCACTTTCAACTACAGACGTGTAGAAAAGTCTGAGTAACCTAGCTTCAGTATTACAGTATTCTAAAAGTCCTTCATAACAAGACAAAACAACCAAAATTTTACACTTTATTATAAAGCAGTCATGCATAGCATTAAATTTTTCCAACATGCAAGTAAAAAAGTGAATGTAATGCACAAGAGCCTAACATCTATTAATCACTCTGGTTTTATTAAGTACAGTACTGTACTCACAATTCTACAAGCATGGCAGCACAGGCAGTCTACCTGTCAATGGCAGCTCTCTCACCAGAGGAGCAGGAAGATTTTCTTTACTACCAATCTTCATGTTTGGTTATTGTCATTCAGGTAAATATCTTTTTTCTTGGTGATATTTCTAGGCAGAACAATTCAGGAGTCGTACTATTATGAAGTGGGAAGTTTGATACGATGACATGTGTGGTAAAGACAAGCCAAAGCAGTCACTCCTCGCAAATCTCAGTTTTGGAGATAGTGGACAAAACATGTTGGAATGTCAACTTTTTAAAAATCTATAAATAGACCAGAATCCCACAAACACACTCCTTGGCAGATATATAGAAGGGGCCGCATGTAACGCATGTACTTACTGGGAAAACACTCACTTCCAAGTCCAAATAAGCCCTGTAGAGGCCACGGGGCCCCCTCTTACTTGCACAATAATTCAACGCTTTTGAAAATATGGTACATTTTCTTTTAATCTTCAAAAACTTATAGGGCCCTGGGCCGGCTGCATCCCCACACACCCTAGAATCTGCCTCTGCCCTAAAAACATGGCAATAAAGAATTAAGTACATGAATACCCACCATAGTGTAGGCATATTATGAAATGTAAAGACATTATATAACATGTTAAAATAGTTTAAAACAATGTACTGTATATATAGGCCTGGTAAAGGTCTACAGCACCATAAAAAAGTATGGTAATTTTATTCAAACATAATTTGTGGTATGGAAGTGATAATTTATCAAAACAATCTATCAATTTGGTTTAATACCTAGACCATCTTTATACTGGTATTTTCAAGCCTATTCAACGACTCAAAGAAAAAGTGATCCAGAAGACGTAGGCCAAAAATTGTTATGGGGAAAGTAAATTATTGTCGATCTCTGAATTGTTGTAGTGTTGATAGAGTCTACAGTATGTTGGAATGGTAGCTTATAGAATGTAACCACAAGCAGATCTAGAGGAAAATATGGGTAGGGGCCATGTGATGTGCGAAGCATTGAGCGTTGTGGTGTTGAGTTCTTTGTTTAGAAATGCTTGAGAACATAGACACTTGACTCCTTGTTACGCCACTGTTACTACCAACAACAACATGAAGAAGAACAAGTAAAAACAATAGCCTCCCCTGAGATTTCGCTCCTTTGGAGAGGCTAAAAATTTGTAGTGCACTACATCTGCTACCTATATACATTTTTTAGCATGATTTTTTCAGGGGCCCCAAGTTGAAAGAAGTTCCTTTGGGTGATCTGGTTTTAAATGAGCTTTCTTAACGTATTTCATTCTATAACTGGGACGGCAGCGCTAACTCAGCCGCTCTCCGTACCTACTGCAATTTTGGGTTGTTTTTCTTGATGTTTCCTTGTTTGGTGTAATCGTGTTTGCGTATTGTTTTGAATGTTGATTATTTGAAGTGTTTTGGTCTCGTTTTGCGGGTTATTAAACGTTTCATTTTACAGTAAATTAAGGTAGAAAATGCTGAACATCCTAGGCCGTGTTGCAACATCATTAGCATGGAATGTTCACACAGCAATGCGACCGTACACAGGTGGAGCTATTATTGTCAAAAGCACAACGCGAAGCAGAAAACGTTGGAGAAAGAGGGGAAACCGAGGTGGAACAAGACGTAGAATACCCGTGCTTATTTCCTGTCGTAACAAGTTCATAGCTAAAAAATTGGAAGGACCAACTTCTAGGCAAAGATGTTTAATCAGTTTGAGTATTTCACAAATCGTCAATAATCTTAGCAGTGGAAAGCATATACCAAGTAGGCCTAGGCAGACTAAGTCCAGTCAGGGACCCAAAGAACGTTTGACGTCGCAATTTCCTGTCATCATGCTAACTAACCCCTGGTCCACCCTAAATAAAATAGACGAAATTAGTGTTTTTCTGAAGGAAAA